TCTAGTACAAAATTATAAAAGCATAATTTGATAATCCTGTAATAAGGATAGACAATTGTTTTAACAAATGTTCAACTGCTTTTCAAGCCTGAAGCTAAGAAGGAAAAGATAGCAATTTGCACATCAGAGAATTACTTACAATATGTTTGAAAACATAGCTGCTAAGTCTTTATTTTACAAAATATTCTATTTTGTGTGTCATTCTTCATAGTTAATGAAAACAATAATAACTATAAAATATATTTGCCCTTCAGCAGAACTACTCTTGCTGTGTTGTCAGGTAATCCTGTGGCCAGCTATTACTATAAAAATAACTTCAAAGGCATATTAATAAAAGTAATGCAGTAATGAAGGATTCTTTCTTTGGGAGAGTCTAAAAATGCTGATGTAGTTTGGAACGGTCTCATGCCTGTACTGCTGCTGGCAGTGGTAAATAACTTCAGCTTCCTCAGAATAACTGCATTGCATCCAGGCTGTTCATTGAGGCGTTTCATTCCAGGTTAATGCTGATATGTTGTTTGGGTGTGGTTTTAAGATTAAGCTGCTTGTGCATCTAGCCCTCAATGACAAATGGGATTCAGCAAGATCAGGAACAGAAACATGGTCCTGAGTCTGTCTACAAAGCCAAAGGCTAAACACAGAGCACGGTGGTATTTTAGGAAGAAGAGATGTGATAGGAAAAAAGAGAAAGATACTAAAAAAAAGTGAGGCAGGGAGAAAATAAAAAAAAACCCAAACCCAAACCAACAGTGTTAGAGGTACACAGAAGCATTAGATGATGTTAGACATAAGATCTGTTTGGAAAGATCCATAAATTTTAGAAAAGCATTTTCTGTCCTTAGCCCAGACATGGTTAGTAAGCACGTATGTAGTCCAAAATGTTTGATTCATTTAGGTAATGCTCTCTCTGCTTGAAGAAACTCATATACATTAATATATCTATCTTGCAATTCCAGTGAATTGTGTCAATTGAATGTGTTGGCTCAAAGCTTTCTAATGAACACATATGCAAAAGCCATTTATTGGAGTTCCTGGAGATATTTCAAGATACAAAGCTATATTTTGAAGGTTTTTTCCATAGTGCTAGATAAAAATAATGGCACTGATTGTTTTCAAAATCAATACTGTAACAGTTAAACTAAGCACATCATCCTGATTTAATTAGGATGTTCATAAGAAACTATTCTAGTGCATGCTTTTTTCTAACCTGCCCTTTCTGTAGAACGTACATGACTCTTTCACCTCACAAGATGAACAGAGACCCAAGCAGATAACTATAGTTTCCTTCTAGCTGCAGGAACTATTCAAGTACTGTCAAGGATACTTTCTTTTATAGGCTATAATTCAGATGCTAGGACACTTTTCCTAGGTGAGTCATATGAGTACATCTTCTTTACCACCAAAATGCCTATGCATCCACTTAAATTCAGAATTGTAGGTGAAGGAGAAGCTTTAAGAGTTCTGTTCTCATTGGGCAGTCCCAGGAAACTGTTATGACTGTTATACTACTGCTACAAGCTTTTGTCACAGAAGGTTATAGAAATTTTTTTGTGAAAACTGTCAATCCAGCATGGACAGTTTATAACTTCTGAAAGCAGAACCAAATCCAGAGTGTAAGTGGCGTACACTGAATGTATTCTGGAGAATGTAAGATGACATACATGTAGCGTACAGAATAATGAGAATTACAAGAGTTGAGGAGAAAACATGAGAACTTGAATTTTTATTTCATTTTCAAGATAAATATAAACATTTGGTTAAAGACAACTCATAAAAGTGCTCAGCACACTTCTGCAACGGTAGGCAAAACAGAAAATGAAAATTCTAAATACTTTGGAAAAAAACCAGTAACGAGGTAAAAAAAAACAAGCCCCCCTAATTAATTACACCCATTGACCCAGTATCATGCTGCCAGTTACTTACTGCTATACACAGGAAAATAAGAGTTCAAATTTCCTCAGAGGCCATCAGCATGAGCCCAGAAGAATGGATGTTAATTACTCATCCTAAAAATATCCATTTTTTTAGTAGAAGTAATTTTCATGAAGTCTCAAGAACTACAGCCTTGGGAAATTGAGTCCTCCTTTTATATGTGTATACACACACACACAAAGATATATATATATATAGATACATGTACACAGCTGATAAAGACAGTTTATCCTGCTTTAGCTCTGCTGTATTGCTAAAAGTATCCAATCAGTATTTAAATTCACTATAGAACTGCTTCAGGGATTGTGCATAATAATTTGCTTATATGCTGCATAGCCTAGTACTTTCTTTTGCTGAAGTTTCATGTAAGCTTGTGTTTTTTGATTAAAGGAAAGAAAGGAAGGGAGGAAAGAAGGAACTGAGAGAAAATAAGGAAGGTTGGAGAGTCCCAGGCAATACTGTAAAATTTTGCAAAATGGCAAAAACTGAATCAATTGATGCAATAGCCACCACAACATCTTTGTTCAGTGTGAATAAAAAGACCCCCACAACAACCAACCCTAAATTCATGCATTACCAGAACTGTGGCAGTCAATTACATTTATTTTTGAAAATACAAGTGCCTGCCATGGATCTCAGATGAGGAATTTAAAAGTCAGGCATGAGTAGAAGGACCATCCATAAACATACCTACTCAAACCAAGCCCTCCAACAGTTTTAACAAGAAAGAAAAAAATGACAGACTTTGCCTCTGTAAACAAATCCAGGTTCTGGTGGATGATGGTGGGTAGAGCTTTCCAAAACTGGGGATCCCTCACAGAGAATGAATCCCTGACAGCTGGTTCCTCATACTTCATTTGCAGAGCTCAAACGTGTGAACCTCTGCGGAGCTCAACTTGGCAGTATATCACAGGGAGAAAAAAGTAATCTTTTAAGCAACTAGACTCAGTTCCACACAACTGTGCTCAAACACAATGAAGTTCTCATAAAACAAAGCATTTGACAAGAAAAAGGCTTATCTCTGTAGGGTAATTTTTAAAAATCTGTTATCTCATGAAATCCGGTAATGCTGCTCTCTTCCATAAGGTTTTATTTAAAGTCTAGACATGCTCTACAGAGAGTATAAAATGTATCTAAAATCGCATTTTTAGAACAAAGGTTTTAGCAACAGAGTCATTCTGGATTCAAATCTGACTCACGGTTTCTCAAAACCTGGGTAACAGCCAGCCTAAAATGTATCATGCCAGCTATCAGTCAGCATGTTTGGGAACCACACATTCAGCCCCATACAGGCTCCCACTTCACGCACCCAGGCAAATACCAGCAGTGTACTGAGCAACAGTACCAGAATCCCTTGCTGACCACTTGTTCTCTCACCAGCTTTTGTGGGAAACAGATTAGTGCCATGCAACATGTAGTGACAGGAAACTACAGGAAACTGAAAAAGGGTAGATTTGGATTAGATATTGGGAAGAAATTCTTCACTGTGAGAGTGGTGAGGCACTGGAATACATTGCCCAGAACAGCTGTGGCTGCCCCATCCCTGGTAGTGTTTAAGGCCAGACTGGATGGGGTTTTGAGCAACCTGGTCTAGTGGAAAGTCTCTGTCCATGAAGGGGTGTTGGAACTTGGTGATCTGTAAGGTCTTTTCCAACCCAAACCATTCTGAAAGAATATACACAGAGTATAGCCAAGACTTGTTGCAAAGCATACGTGTGTCTAGCACCCTTGTGTCAGGGGGTGGAGGGGCCCCTCAGGGGCTGCTAGCAGGACTTCAACACTCAGCGTTAGTCCCATTGTCCAAGCCAGAAGTAGGGTGATGTGAGGAACTGGGGTGCGCACGCCCAGTGAACAAGCTGTTTATGGTTGGCACCAGCAGGAGCTGTGGCTGGGTACAGGGAATTCTGTAACTAGTATTTGCCTAATGCTTCCCCTCAGCTGAGCACTATTAACCATTCCCAGCCTGAATTCCCCAGGACTGTTTTTCCTCTGCTGTGCTTTAGCACACACATTTATGAATTAACACCTGAGTAATACTGCTTGCTCTTGCAATAACATTGTCTTTCAAGGTTTTTCTTTATGCTCCAGCTTCTTGAGCACCATCAGTGTAGGAAATTCTGATGTTTATTCACTCATTAGAAGTTTTACACTTGTATTTTCAAAGTAAGCTTTGGGAGCATACACTCTAGAGACTCAAACAACAAAAGCTGAATAAATGTATTGTTTAAAAGAAAGAATTCCTCTACCTGATTTTCCTGCAGGGGTAACTACAGTCTTCACACTGCACAAATTCATTCACACTGACTTTCCGATCAGCTTGGGTCTGGCAGAAACACAGCATTTCCAAAGCCAAAGAGCCTTCACGCCAGCAGATGTTGCGAATTGCCACACAGAGAGCCTGGGGTACCTCGATTTCCAGCCTTGAGCAGGGCAGGCTCCCCTGTGGCTTTCTAGGGGGCTCAGCACCTTCCCAGAGCACATATGTACTCCACTGCCATGCAAAGCCCTCCCAAACTGCACTGGCCCCACTGCAGTGTCTGACACCCTGTGCTCCAAAACAGATGGGGGGCTGGGGCTGCCGAGTTCAAGCATGGCGCTGGACAAATGCATAGAATGGCTCCAGATTCGATGGGGCCTTCACAAGCCAGAGGTGATTTGCCATCTCTCCACTTCCAGACCTCCTCCTTACTCCAGTCAGCCCATCCCCTTGCCTTCCCAAGCAGAGGAATTTATTAACTTCTGGTTAACACTCTAGACAAAGGTCAGGATGGAAAAACTGCACAGTCCCCTCTTAAGTTACTCAGGTGATGCAGGATCAGCTCTGTGACACCTGCCCCGTGTGATGATGTAACTGATGATGTGAAAAGTCTGGAGATGCTGTCTCCAAGCAAACACACTGACGTACACGCAGGCTGTCAGAGCAGAACGCACAAACATTCTTCTACTCCCCTTAATTACATGTACCTGAACAACCAGATACCATTTTGTACCTATGCGGACCCACCTGGTTTTAGGTGTTTACTTTTGTGAATGTCACTGTATCGCCTCTTTTTAGCGTGTAACTTAACAGCGGCGCTGCCTCTGCTCGCTACGGCTGTTTGGGGGGGGGGGGGGCTAGTTTTTAAGCGGATGCTCATAGTTTGCTCAGAGAGCATTACTCTCGGAGCACAAAAGTGTTTGCCTCCAAACGTCCCCTCTTACTTCTCTCTCGGTGTGTTCGGGCAGCAAACGGCTTCACGGGAGAGGCGGCAAACGCTTTCCCCCACAGGAGGGGGGAAAAAAGGGGGAGAGAAAGAGGACAGCCGGATTCCGCGGCCGCAGGTACCGGCACCTTCCGATGGGACGGGCCCAGACCCAGGGCCGGGCGGTGCCGTGCGAGGACGCACGCGGTGTTTACGGTTGAATGAGGGGCGAGGCCAAGGAGCGCTGCGTCAGAGCGGGCTGGAGGCGGGCAGCGGGTGGGCAGGGGCGCGTGTGTCCGGTGGGGCGGCCGCCGCAGGCGGGGGGCGGTGACGCGAGGGGTGGGCCAGGCTGCCGCAGGCAGGGGGCGGTGACACGAGGGGTGGGCTGGGCCGGGGCGGCTGCGAGGCGCGGCTGGGCGCGCTGCCCCGCAGCACCAGCTGCGGCCGCCCGCGTCCTCCCCGGCATGGGGGCCGGGCCCCGGCCGAGACCCCGCTGGCGGCGCTGACCTGAGCGGCACCCCTCGCTCCCTTTCTCTACCCCCGCAGTCCCGTGGGGAGTAGGCCTGGCGACGGCTACTAGCGCCCGCGGGCGGGCGGCGCGGGGCTCGGTGCGGCGGGCCGTGGGGCTCGGGACCCGGAAGCAGAAGCGGGGCCGGGAGGCGGCTGTATGGGAAGGAGCGACGGCGGGCGGCGATGGGGGAGCAACAGAGCTCGCTGAGTGCCCCGCGGGCGGCCGCCGCCACCACCGCGCCGCCGAGCCCGGCCGGACGCCCTTGGGAGTTCAGCCCGGACGACCCGCCTCAGCCGCGAGAGGCTGTCCCGGGCGGCGAGGCGGCCGAGCCGGGGGGAAGTGGGGAGCCGCCGCCGACCGCCCCCAGCCCTGATCGGCAAGGGGCCGAAGAGGAGGAGGCGGAGGCTGTGGCCGGGCCGGAGGAGCCGCCAGCCGCGGAGGAGCCGGCGACTCTGGCGGAGGAGGGGCCGGGGCCGGGGCCGGAGGGGGGCCACGGCTGCCGCCGCCTCTCCCGGCGGCAACTGTACTGCACAGTCTACTGTGTGGAGAACGACAGGCCGGCGGCGGCCCCCGCCTCCCCTCGCGGCGGCACGGACAGCGGCAGCCAAGGTGCGGGGCAGCCCCTGGCGCGGCGCGGGGTGGTGGCAGACGGCGACCCGCTGTCGGCGGGCGGCAGCATCGAGGTGGTGGACTTGTACCTGCTGCCCGAGCCCTTCTCCGGGCTGATCGCTGGCGAGTTCGGGCCGCTGCTGGTGCTGAGCTGCCGTGTGTGCCTGGAGGAGAAGCCCATCAAGCCCCTGTCGTGCTGCAAGAAGGCGGTGTGCGAAGACTGCCTAAGGAGGTACCTCAGCTCTCAGGTACGGCGCAGCAGGCGCTCCTAAGTTGTGCTGAGGGGGGAAACTGTTGAGGGGTGCAGGCGCAGCCCCAGCTCGCCCTCCTGCTGCCGGTTGTCGGGCGTGAGGCTCCGGCAGGTCGGGCTGCGGACCGGAGCATCGCTCCGCGGCCGGCCTGTTCATCCCCGGTGGCGTGGCGTGGGGTAGGAGGAACCTTTCCTTTCCCGAACGGAGCGCGTTTGGCAGCCGCCTGCTTGCATGTGAGCTGTTGGTTTAATGACCATTTGTTCTTCAAGTGTTTGCGCCTTGTTACGTAGCCGGTTTGTTTGGTGGTGGCTTTTCTGCCTTGTCTTCTAAAGGATTTTTTTTTCTTTAAATTGTCAGATTCTTGCTGCTACGTGTCTGGCACCCGTTTCCTTCGAAGAGGAGTGCAAGGAAGGATAAGGAACAGTTTGGGAGGGTTAGCAGCCGCCTCTGAGATGACTCCTGAAGTCAGAGGCTGGGGATTTTGTCTATGCTGCCACTTGTACGTGCGGGTGTTTGCCATGCCCTTGATGCAGCTGCTCGGCCTGTTCCTGTGAGAATATATCGTATTTGGTATTATGCCAATTATGTAAGATTAAAATAGTGGGGGGCTCTGTCTGACTCTTCGTGAAGGACCGCGGTTACTACAATAAGAAGTTCTCTGGGGGAGAAAAAACAAAGCCAAACACATTAAATTTTCCATCTTGGGCAGGTAGCTGTTCATCTTGGGTAAACAGCTACTCACGTACAGGCTGCTTATATCTTCGTCACTGTTTTGTCAGAACCGCTGTTTCAGACTGAAATGAACAGCTTGAAAGCACAGTGCTGTCTCTGTCAGTGGTTTTAGTAGCCAGTTCAGCATCCCAGAGCACTTGTGCAACGTTTTTGCTGCTGGTGTAGGCACGCCCTAAACCCAAAGAGCAATGGGACAAGTGTGGGTATGTGGGAAAAACAAAGCCAAACAAACCCTTTGCTTATCACCTTTGTTATTCAGCAGAGACTTTTGGGGTCTGCTTGATTTGATAGAAAAAAAATCATTTGATAGAATGATTTTTTTACACCTGCTGGGGCTGGGAGGCATGCTGGGCAGTCTGTGCTCCCACTGGGCTTTGTGTGTAGGGACAGGATGGATAGTTACAGCTATCTCAACACACTGTAAATAGTTGTCAGGCTGCTTTGACCAGGGGACATTTCACTGCTTGGAAGTTGTACTTGCTGATTGAAGTGAAACGTGCTTCTCTCAGGGCATTGGTAGACTATGTAACATTTACTAGTGCTGGTTGCATTTGTTCTGGTTCATTGTAAACTCCCTGGTGTTTTTGTGGATCACCTTCTTTATGTTCAGGTAACAGGAATTGTTTAATGTGGGAGCTGATGGATAGAAGATGCAGAGTTGTGCTTTGTATGTTTCCTGTGAGACTGAAACTCGGCAGCGCTTAATAAGCTTCTTCAGGACTTCGTAGACAGAGCCCAGAGTGGTTTGGCTTGTAGTTAAGTGGTGGACTGGCAGCTCTCAGCAAGTTTTTAAGAGTATATTGTCTGTGCACTTTTGCGCCACCTTTGTACTTGCCACTGAAGTCACGTTTCAGAAAATTGTCTTGCTTTGAAGCTGGAAATTGCAAAGTGGTGTGATGTCAGGGTGGTCTCTAGCTTCTGCATGTTCCTGCAGCTTACAATGATCTAATGGAGGTTATGTGATCTGATAGCTAAAGCCATACCAGAGAACTCTTCTGCCTGGTTTAGGCAGGACTCTTGGAGAATGATCCAGGAGCTTGGTGGCTGAAATAGCTGGTTGGCCTGGGAATCAGGTATATGCCCTGTGAAGTGGGGCTAGCATTGGCCAGCTGTGGGATGCATGTGCAGGGATGCCCTCTTCAGGGAGGCTGCTACTATTGCTGAACACTCTGCAAAGCTTATCCCAGCAGCTATTAAAAGGTCTGCTTGGCAGATAGCCATATGGGTACTTATTTCTATACATAAAAGCTGGAGCAGGGATACTGATATGGAGGAGGGGATGTCTACAGCAGGGATACTGATCTTGATTCAGAGCACTTCTGTGAGCATGTTGTTCCAGATGCTGGTATGACCAGGCAGAATTTTAGCTGTTTGATAAATTTGTTCAAGGAAAAGGGAAACAAATAACAAGTATCAGTCCAATGTGTTCTGTCCCTATCTTCGTTTTTGAAAAGAACAAGAAAGTGATATTTCTTTGAGAAGAACAAGAAGTGATGTATCTTTCCTTTGTGCACTGGAAGGATCCTGTGACTCATCCTGAGGAGAGAGGAAAGACTTCTCTATGCCAGTTATATTAGAGGAATTTCTGGGAAGGATGTGTGGAAAGGCAGTGTAGGATAGAAATAGTGGCCTTTCGTCTTTGAGATTTAGCAGATTGTGTAGAAAAAAAAAAAAAAACAACCAAAACTGAAGTTCAAAAGGAGCAAATGTTGAAAAGCTGTTTCTGTTTGAAAATCTTAACAGATCTTACGTTTGAATACAGTCAGCTTGATTTAGGGATGTACCTGAAATTGAAAACAAAACTAAACAAAACCCAAAGCAGCAAACAGCAACGTGCATTGTTTAGATCTTTCTTGTCAGAGAAGTAGCAATCTCTGCCCTTCATTTGAGAGGATACTGGCCAAATGTCTCTGGAGGAGTGGTCTTTCATGCTGAAAATATCGTGTGTTGGCAGAAGTATAATACTTAAAATAATTTGTGTATTCTTTCATGTCTATGTGTGTTTTCCCACCGAAGCAAGCTGGATTCTTGATGACGGTTTCATTGTGATTTCTGAAATGATGCTTCATGGAGTAGCAAAGTAAAACCCCTGTTGACTCACTCTACCCTCTTCTAAGCAAACATGGAATAGCATCAAAACTTCTGCATTGGAGCGCTTTATGGATCAGAAAATCAGCTGAAGTTTTAGGCATTGTTGAAAAGATTATCCAGGTGAAAATACTGCAAGTGCAGAGTTCACTGTAATGTTATACTGGCATGATGGAAAATGAAAGTAATTGATTTAGGAATGTTTCATCTGAAGGTCCTTAGAGTTCAAATCCAGTCTTTCTTATCACTGGGCACCATGCTGCGTAATCTCTTTCAAAGATTTCATGGCTGAAGCAGAAACTTAGCAGATGAGCCTGGAGCGCCCAAGCTGATCTGCAGCTTGGCTTTTGGTAAATCATGTAATTTTACCTCTGCCTCAGTTTAGGCCAGGAGAAAGAATAGCTAATACTCGCAGACCCCTCAGGGCTTTTCAGGATCTGATGACAAACACTTATCTACCATTTACGAAAAAAATTCTATGACTTTATTCTCTTGGACCCAGAGAAATTGAAGGAGGGGTAGGTATAGGTGGTAGGTCAGCATGAAAGAGGTGGTGGCTTTTGCACCTCAGGATCTGGTGTGGGTCCCAAAGAGCCTGTGTCAGATCCCAGCAAGCTCTGTCTCCAGGAACTGATGGGGTCCATTTGCAAATGTAAAATGGATAAGGCTGAAGAATGTGTTTGAAATGTCAGTGCTCTTCCAGAACCATGGTGCTCAGGGAGGCCCATCTTCATGGGCTCTCAGGTGTGTGTCCAGTGAGGCTGGGGTCAGAAGGGTGGAAGAACAGTTCCCCTTCAGCTGGGAGCTGTGTGCTTCTATGCTTGTGCATCCAGCATACAAACTGGGGATGGAATTGATGTGGGGAATGATGGGGAGGGGTGGGCAGGGAGAAGCGGAGCACTTGATCTTACAGGTGTGATACTGCATTTTTATCTCCTTCACTTCCCATCTTCCTGTGCATTTAACACTGCACCAGACCCGAGTTACTCCAGAAGCTGTGTGCACACATAGGTTTGCTAAATGGGTGATTCACTTCCTAACCTCTTCTGCCTGGTTGCATGTCTGAGTCAGAGGGAGTTTTGCTTTTTGTTTACTTGTGTGTCTGGGTCAGGGTATGTTTGGAAATTTCCTCTAAAAATAAACAAATAGGTATGGGAAGAATTTTGATTGAAGAAGAGAGGGAGAAGACCTAAAGTTTAACTAGGTTTTTATATGTAACTTGCCCTGGACTGGTAAAGAGGCCAAGATTTAAATGTGTTCTCTCATCTCTGTAATCTGCAAACCTGAGTAGTGCTGTTCAGAACAATCTTGCTCCTCACTTTTTATCAAGTATTGACTAGACCAAAATGATACTTGCTGTTTCCTAACATCTATAAAGTAAAGTACAGTGTTCTATAATAAATACTCAAAGCTATATATAATTGTATCTGTACTTGTTTCACTTTTCTGTGAAACTTTTACAGCCATTTTATAGGAAACTTTGGTTACTTGACTGCCTGCTTTTTCTTCATGCAAATTTGGAAACTTGATAATCCTGTTTTGACCCTATTTCATTAGCGATGCTTTATTCTGTAAATCTTACAGTTCTCTTGGAACAATCATTCTTACATTAAAGGGGTTAATTTAAAACAACATACTATATTCCTGATCAGATATTATGCTGCTTTAACTATAGGTAGGAACTCTAATGAGATTAGTGGCTATGAGTAAATGGGAGAGGAATGTTGGAGACAGGGAAGGGCTGCATCCACCAGTGTTTGTGTATGGCTGGTTTTGGTGGGACTAAAATCCTGCTCTTGTCTCCTGAGGATGAAACGTGGAGATTGTCTTCCCTCTGCCCAGGACCTGTTACCAGTCTTCCTATTTCAGTGACTTGAGGTCTTGGTTTTGACCCTCTTTCTGTGCATGACCTCTTGCTGAAAGACCTGGAGAGAAAAAAGCAGCAGGCTGTTCCAGTCAGAATTTTTGTGGTGAATGTGATTATAAAGCCACATAGGGAAGAGAATTTGGGGGCAGTATGTATTGCCTTAAACTAGTACCAGCTTGGAACCAGTGACTGACACCTGTGTGCCTCTTCAGGTGTCTGATGGTATCATATAAATGATACACTTTCAAAGCTATAGTCTGGTTGCTGATGAAAACCAGCCAGCAGAAGCATAGGCACCAAGGTCTGAATC